TAGATGTGAATGCCGAGCAATGTGTGCTGTGTTGTTGTGGAGTACTGTCCTGGCGGTGCCCTCAAGTCTTACCTCATCAAGAGCCGCCGCCGCAAACTCGCTTTCAAAGTCGTCATCCAACTTGCCCTTGATCTCGCCCGAGGGTATATTATAATTTGTATATATATATATATATATGTTCAAAGTATACATAGCTACAAATATATATATCAAATTACTCAAATACACTTGAATTTGCTTATTAGCTTTGATATCGGGTTTAAACACCCTTTCTGTTTTGTATATTTTCTTCAAGGTTGAGCTACCTTCACTCGAAGAAGATAGTGCATAGAGACGTGAAAACTGAAAACATGCTATTGGACAAGACTCGTACTGTCAAGATAGCCGACTTTGGTGTGGCCCGTCTCGAGGCTTCTAACCCCAACGACATGACTGGTGAGACCGGAACTTTGGGTTACATGGCCCCCGAGGTACTATTCATTTCATTTCTTCCTTTTCAGTTACAGTGAATCGGTTGTAAAACTTTGGTTTGCTGAAACCCAAATCAGGTCCTAAACGGGAATCCGTACAACAGAAAGTGTGATGTGTACAGCTTCGGGATATGCTTATGGGAGATATACTGTTGCGACATGCCTTACCCTGACCTCAGCTTCTCCGAGGTCACCTCGGCCGTTGTCCGCCAGGTAAACTTACCTTTTTAACCCTTTCGCTCAGTCTTCCTTTGAAGCCCGAGATGTTCACAAGAAAACGGTGAAACAGAATCTGAGGCCAGAGATACCGAGATGTTGCCCGAGCGCGCTGGCGAACGTGATGAAGAGATGCTGGGACGCAAACCCCGAGAAGAGGCCGGAGATGGAGGAGGTGGTGACCATGTTGGAAGCCATTGACACCTCCAAAGGCGGCGGAATGATCCCTCCCGACCAACAACAAGGCTGTCTCTGTTTCCGCCGGCACCGAGGGCCATGACCTTTACCTTTACCATAATGAATTTTACTTGATGTCTGTTTTATTATAGGAAATGGATTTGTCTGTAGGATGAATGCCTTCTGTTACGTTGTTATACAGGACACCAAACAGAAAAAGCTCGCGTCTCTGGTTCTGGTTGGTCGTATTAGATTAACTTCTATTGTTTTTTTCCTTCGGACGACGTCTTACGTGCAAGAGAATTCAGATTTTGACCATGTTTAGCGAATAGTACAGCACCATGTTTAGCGAATACTGAATAGTAAAGCTTCGTTCCATAACGTACGTACCGAATAAACCGGTTGAATTCTCTCAGACGTGGGAAATGAGCAACGTGAGTAGTAGTAGTACATGGGAAAATAAACCGGTTGTTAACCGGAAATCTTGTAACTTGGGTTAACAAGATTTTCTAGACCGGAGACGACATGGATCGATTCGATAACATCACCGACCTTAAGATCAGCTAAGTAATCCTCGTTCTGGGTTACGTAACCGAAAACAGCATACCGACCGTCCAAGATGTTGGCGTTGCTGGGAGTGAGTTCACTTTCTTTGAGCAGCCAAAACACTTGGCTTGACGCGGAGTTGTTCTCAAACTCCTGTTTTTTTTTTTTTTTTTTTTTTTTACACACAAGAAAACCTCACATGTTAATACTTTGCTTGCCATGTGAATGTAGAAACATCACGTTATCTCTCTATACATTTGGAAACAAACTCAGGAACGTGAACTCACTTCTCTAGCCATTGCCATGGTCCCAAATGCGTTGAAAGGAAGCCTCGTTTGAGCCTTGTAGAGACCCAGCTCCTGTTCCAAGAGCCAAAACATCCAAAGCTTAAATCTTTTGCACAACTTGGAGATATTTGTTTTAGGAATGCTACTGATTGTATCCCTGGCTCAAACAAGATCCATGATATATATATATATATATATATATATATATATATATATATATATAATGCACCAGGAGAAAGGAAATAGACAATGACAAAAGAGATGGGAAGAAGAGAGAGGCTTTACTTCGAGGGTGGAACCGTAGAAAGGCACTTTCTCGCCTACCGCCATTATCTCTAAAGGAACCGTACGAGTTTTCTCTGTGCTTGGATCGATAAACCCATCAGCAGGACCCTCTGGATCTCCAGTTTGCACGACAAACCCATCAGCTGATGCAAAATCGAAAAATTTAAAACCCTTCCGAAACAATATCCAAGATATGGGATACATGCATTCGGAGGGTAGTGTATTACCTCTCTGGATCTCCATGCCGTCATAGAAATGCCTCTCCACTAAGTCGAGAAAGTTGCCGGAAGTAACAGGTGCATTATAGCCATCAAGAACTATGCGGAATACACACTCCTCGAGGTTTGGATTGTCTTTGACTTTGACCTTCATGTCCACAGTGGCTCTACCCTTGAGAAGAGGCAAGTTTTGGTACTCTTCCGGGACTTCATATGGGAAGCCATCAACCATATCCTCTTCAATTCTGCAGAGAAACCGAATGCCCCACGAACATCATCTCAGCTGCAGTCAATGACGAAGGTTTAAATGAGCAAAACCTTCTCTTCTACAGAAACTTAAGTTTTCTCACACATTCCTCTCAACAAGATTTTACACCCAACAAACAGATCGTTTCTTGAACAATTGCGATATAATCCCTCAGAATTATTTCCCATTTGAGAAACAGAGCAGAACGTCAATTACATGGTTTCAAATTTTCATCACCATCAATGCAATATATCATCTGTTTTAATAGCTAATATCTGTGTGTCGAAACCCATCTCAATTCCAATGAAAACCTGGGCATTCATCCGAACCAAGCTAGACGAGTTTTTTCTTCAATGATGAATGCTTTCGAATGTTAGGTAACTCACCCTCCAACATATTGTAGAAGTTCTTTCTGTTTTGGAGCAACTGCATCTCTGTTCCGTTCCTCCACAATCTGTTGCAGCTCATCCATCCCAGCTTCGAGCTTGTCGATCAATTCACTTCCATGGTCTTTCTTAGATTCAGCGAAACCAGCCACAATCATATTTTTCCCTTGCTTCAGCAATCGAGATGCTTGCCTCACATTCTATACAGCAATGCAAAGACATTATTACACAATAGGAACAATTCCGATCCTGTCCAGGCAGAACTTTTTTTCCATTTCAATATCGGACATATACCTCTAGCAGAGATTCTAAATCCGCAGAATAAGTTACACGAAGCGTATATACATATATATATATACACATGTTTAAGAGAAGCTCCTTACTCGTTCAACAGAGTCGAGGGCCTTAACACCGGCAATCTTGAGGCTATCTGTGATATCTTCAAGAGGCTTCTGTACTTCCCTAATGGCCTTATTGTCAATAGGCAATGCATATCTCAGAAGAGCTCCCGGGTCCTTAATTGGTGGACCAGATATCAACACTGATACGTCCGGAATTGCTGGCTCGACTGCATATGCACTAGGAGCCGAATCTATGGTAGGTATTCCGGTTATCAACCCGACAGTCAACGCCATGGAAATCGCACATTCTTTCAAGGATGACAGCGCCCCTCTCTGCAGTTCAATGCTATATTAACACATAACTTTATACATGAAATCAATAATACTATTGCAAAATTCATCTCTTCGGATACTGCGAGGCCAAAGTTTCGTGCTTTACATTGAAGTTTTCACATCAACAGGGGCTAACGCTAACATGATCTCATCATCAAGTAGTTTTGCAATCTATCCTGTAATGCGGAGTGCTTCAAAGTTCAAACAGCGAATTTACGTATGGAAATTTGATCAAATTTATCCATTTTAAAAGGACAGCAATTTACCATATTCATCACAACAATGCGTAATTTCCAACCTAAACGTTTCGAAAACAAATGGAGAAGAAAACATAAAAGAGAAACCGACCTGCTTATTTTGAAGCTGGGATTGATCACTTTCGCCGACATTTCCGGAAGAACAAAGAACGGTGAGATGTCTGCTCGACCAGGAAGAAACGCATCTCTTTCGGAGAAATCCCGAGGACTTGACGAAATTCAATGCGGGGAGAGAAGGGAAAGTTGCCGCCATTGTACAGTCTTCAAGAAACGACAAAAGGGTACGCGGAGACTGCGTTCAACAACAGCCCAGATGAATTGACATTTGGGCGTTAGGGTTTTGTGATGTCTGAAAAGAACATGGAAGGGTTTGGAATGAGATGGCTGCAGCAAGAGACAGGGAATAGGGGAACGAAGTTGAAAGCAGATAAGGGGTCTATGACTCCCGTTCTCTCCCACTGGATAAGATGGATCAATTTTCCAGATTTTGGGGCAACTTGTTCCTGAAATCAAATGAATGTGATTAATATACTCGATATATATATGTTTTTTTAAATATATATTTGTTGGGCTGAGAAGCCTATTATTGTCCCGCTGATTGGGCTTACTTTAGGCCCAAATAACTTGGGCGGACAGTCACAGTCTGAGGCTATAGTTCAAAAGTATTTAGTCTTTAATAAACTGTTCGACATATATACACACATGTATGCATACACTGTGCACACAACTATATATGTACAACACGCATACATATATACATGTCGAACAAATACGCATATACGGAATAATTATACGCGTATGTAGTTAATGATAAAGGTTAGATGGGATTAAGCTGGCGAATTTAATGCGCATGAGCCACACGAAACCAGATTCTAAAAACTCGCTTAGTTATGCATTTGTTTTATCCCTTTTTCTGTCACTTTGAGATCTGATTATTATATTATTACCAATATTATTTAACATTAAGCTATGCTTATACATATCGATATAAACATACGGCATATGCATTTCATGTATGGTTGGAGTCTATACACTTATATCTGTATATAATGTTCAGTGTATCTCATTATTTAAGTGATAGAGTGTGTGTACGCATACATGGACATCTTTAATGTTTTTTTTTATAATTCGGAAGTTCACCGGACCTTTGCCCCGACTACATCTCCCAGAGGACCGGAGAAGTTCAGATGAATGTCCTTCCCCATATTTTGATTTGAATCTAGGGTGAGAGCATACTTTACATGTTCTCTCACCACTAGACCATCCAAACTTGGGCTAGATATCTTTAATGTTGGTTAAACGTAATTATCAAACGATTATTTTATTACAAAAATGTGTAGAATGTATGACTGGATAATCAAAGTATTAATAAGTTGATGGATGAGCTGAAGTATGATCACGTGTGGCAGATTTCTAAGATCATATTCCTCAATCATTTACACAAAATCAGATGTTGAAATAGGATTTTTCGGGCTCCATATATTTTTTTTTTCCAATCCGATTTTGCCCTTAGAAATCATTAGATAAAAACAAATCATGGAATTGAATTTGATTTGGAATTTACTGATTTTTATTTCCATGGGGACCACACATATATTTGAACAAAGACTAATTCTTCATTTCTTTCAAGATTTTACTTCCACTGACTTGAAAATGATTTAAGATTTATAAAGATTGTGAATATCTGTTAGTATTTAATTTGCATTCTACAGCAATTAAATGACGAAATTTCTTATCGAGTGATGTTATTTGATGTTATTAAGTTCAACGCATCCGTTGTCTGAAAGTCACACAATCAGTTCCTTGAAATAATACAAGATTCTCATGTGAAGTGAACCAAAACAAAGCATCTGGTTCTCGTGGGATTTATTCCAAAGCCACAGGAAGATGATGACGACGAGGTACCCTCGTATTCTATGAAGAATAGAATCTCTCGGTACTACCAAACAAACAACAAAAATAAAATCTTTTTTAAAAATAAAAATAAAAATAAATATCAACAATAAGATGACAAAAAAGTAAAAAAAGTGGGACGAGCACCTCTGCCTATTCACTCCCCACCCATCTTCCATTAGAATCCTTCTCTCCCTCATATCCATCACTACAATACATACAACACGCTTGTGTATATATATATATATTATTTGGTATGCATCGGCGGTACAAACACATATGTGTATTGCATAATTCCTAAAAGATTGGTAACATTCTTCAATACCTACCCTATATTTTTTTTACGGCTACGCATTTGGGGAAGTTATATAAATCGTCTTCGTGTGCTTTGTGCGTTTTCTCTCTTGGGTGGTCCTTGAACATTGGTCCAACCTTGTACCGTGCAATCCATGCGTTTCAACACACAGCCACAGGGGGTGGAAAAGATCTAATCTTTTTCTTTTTTCTTGCCCATAAAAACCGTTGTTTTTTCTGGTTTTCTACTGATTCAATCCATTCGCCCCAAAATAATGGTTTCTGGTAAAGAAAGTTTGGATTTTTGGCTTACTGCAATGAGTTTTGAGTGATTCTGGAGAAAACCCATCATGGATCTCGAACGAGTGAGCGGCAGCAACCCGGTTAAGGTAAGGTCACAAAATTTGAAATCGTTTTTCTTACGGTGTTTCGATTCAAAATCTGGTTTTCTGCAGAAGGAATCTTGGTGGGCGGTTCTGACCTTGGCTTATCAGAGCTTGGGGGTCGTCTATGGCGATTTAAGCACTTCGCCATTGTATGTCTACAAGAGCACTTTCGCAGAAGACATCCAACACTCGGAGACGAACGAAGAGATCTTCGGTGTCCTGTCCCTCGTCTTTTGGACGCTAACCTTGATTCCATTGGTCAAATACGTCTTTATTGTTCTTCTGGCTGATGATAATGGCGAAGGCGGGACCTTTGCTCTCTACTCACTGTTGTGTCGCCATGCCAGGATTAGCTCCTTGCCCAATTGCCAGCTCGCTGACGAGGAGCTGTCTGAGTATAGAAATATTTCTGGGGCAAATCCGAAGAACAGAAAAGCTCCGGGGTGGGGTTTGAATTTGAAATATACACTCGAGAAGTATAGCGTTCTGCAAAACATGTTACTCGTTTTGGCGCTGATTGGGACTTGTATGGTCATCGGCGACGGCGTTCTCACGCCCGCAATTTCTGGTATCATGATTATGCACATATCTTTAGATACACACACATATTCATGTATAATTCTAAGGTTCTCTGTTTGGTATTATTGTTCTGAATTCTGGAAACTCGATGTGTAATTCACGACCTGGGGTTAGTTTTTTTTTATATAATTATTTACCAGAGAATTCTTTTTGGGGTTTGATTTAGAGAGTGAAAGGTGCGGACTTTATGGCAATTTTGACACCATTCTTCTGTAATTGGAAACTCTAAAAGCAAATACAGATGCATCCACACATGTAAACATTCATATGCCTGTGTGCAACATCTCTGATTTGTTTTTCTGAAAGTTAGCAACTTGGTTTGAAGAGTCATGTGGATTCACCGTATCTTTTGATTGGGGGTTGGAAAAAGAGAAACTTGGCTGTGTCATGGCTGAAATGTCGGCTTATCTGAAACTTTCTTTGATTGGTTTGCAGTTTTCTCAGCCGTCTCTGGACTAGAGTTATCCATGTCAAAGGAGCATCACCAATGTAAGCTCTCTTGATTCTTTGAATGGATCATCACCACTCAGGTTACATGCTGAAAATTTTCATCTTATAGCGCGTTTCGGTCGTTTGGCTTGTTATGCTGATACTACACTCAGAGACTAGAGATTTTTCAGTTTTGCTCTGTGATAGCTAAAGATGGAAAATTCAGGTGCTCTATGTCAGATATGGCTATCCTGTTCTTGCATATAGTTGATCTAACGACAGAGTCAGGACTGGAAAGTTTAGGCCCTTGCCCGGTTACCCTTTTCGCTTCTGAGCCCTTTAGGTGTAACAAAACGGCATGCATCACCGTGGCTGCTGGGGGCGGGCTGGAATGTAAATTAGGTTGAGTAGGTATATGATTCAAAATGAGGTTACTTAAAATAATGCAGGTTTGCTTTATGCTGTGGAAGGTGAAGCTAATACCATTCTTATATGGTTAGATAATGAATGTGGTTGAGGGGAAAAAGGCGGTTTATATGATTTGTAAATATAAAGTCGAGAGGAATATAAAAGTTGAAGAAAAAGGTTGTCTCTTTGGGAAGTTAGGTGATCAAGAAAAGTAGGTCCGGTTTTGGATAAGGAATGGACTCATGGAGTCAGCTTCTTTGTCTTATGCTATATGGTTGATTGAAAATTCACAAGACACTAACAAGGTGCATGACTTTTTTTTTTTTTTGCATACCGAATTCTGCAGACGTGGAGGTTCCAATTGCATGTGGGATACTGATACTGTTGTTCTCGCTCCAACATTACGGGACGCATCGTGTAGGCTTCTTGTTTGCACCCATTGTAGTCACTTGGCTTTTCTGCATAAGCGCCATTGGAGTGTACAACATATTTCACTGGAACCCCCTTGTTTACAAAGCCCTCTCTCCTTATTACATCTACAAGTTCCTCAAGAAGACGCGCAAAGGCGGCTGGATGTCCCTTGGAGGCATCCTTTTGTGCATAACAGGTGACAAAAGAATCGAGTTTATTTCATGAGGTTAGATCAGAAATTACACCACCATATTGTGTGATGATTCTTTCGTGGGTTTCAGGCTCGGAAGCAATGTTTGCTGATCTTGGTCACTTCTCTCAGTCATCGATAAAGGCAAGTTCAATACTGGTCCTCTCGAAAGATTCCTGCCCGTTTCATTTCTGGGTTTGATAAGTTTATCGTTCTGTGTTTTTGTTTTAGCTTCTTCTGAAACTTTTGCAGTTCATATGATTTGCTTGCAGATTGCTTTCACCTTCATGGTTTACCCATCTCTGATTCTTGCATACATGGGCCAAGCTGCTTACCTCTCTAAGCACCACATCATTGAAAGCGATTACAGAATCGGGTTTTACGTTTCCGTCCCTGGTACGTACCCGTGATTCTGCCTACCAGTCTCTCGTTCTGTCTTGTAATTCAGTTTACTAAACGAAGGAAGAGGTTGAACAATTTTCACATTCACTTTCTTATTCAGAGAGAATAAGATGGCCGGTTCTGGTAATCGCCATACTGGCAGCTGTGGTGGGGAGTCAGGCCATAATCACCGGAACTTTCTCCATCATCAAGCAATGCTCGGCTTTAGGCTGTTTCCCGAGGGTCAAAATCGTCCACACCTCGTCAAAAGTTCACGGCCAGATTTACATCCCAGAGATCAACTGGACTCTCATGCTCTTGTGCTTGGCCGTCACCATCGGTTTCCGTGACACCAAACACATCAGCAATGCCTCAGGTAATCAAATGTTATATCCCCAAACGACAACATATCTTATAGCTTGTGTGTTTGGTCTCTCCCCTTATGTTTTTTCTTCGGACAGGACTGGCGGTTATAACGGTTATGCTGGTAACGACCTGCCTGATGTCACTAGTGATAGTCTTGTGCTGGCGAAAGAGCATTTTCCTTGCCATTGGCTTCATCTTCTTCTTCGGGACGATCGAAGCACTCTACTTCTCGGCATCCCTCATCAAATTCCTCGAGGGGGCGTGGGTCCCTATCGCCCTCTCCTTCATCTTCCTCGTCATAATGTACATATGGCACTATGGGACTCTCAAGAAGTATGAGTTTGACGTCCAGAACAAAGTATCCATCAACTGGATCTTGACCCTCAGCCCGAACCTTGGCATTGTCCGTGTCCGTGGCATCGGTGTGATCAACACCGAGCTCGTGTCAGGAATTCCCGCCATCTTCTCTCACTTTGTCACCAATCTCCCTGCCTTCCATCAAGTGGTTGTCTTCCTCTGCGTGAAATCAGTTCCTGTCCCACACGTCAAACCCGAAGAACGGTTTCTTGTCGGAAGGGTTGGCCCAAAGGAGTACCGTTTCTACCGCTGCATTGCCCGGTACGGTTACAGGGATCTTCACAGGGACGACGTTGAGTTTGAGAACGACCTCGTCTGCAGCATTGCAGAGTTCATACGATCAGAGAGACCGCCGGAGAATTCACCCGACCCGGATGAATCAGAGACTGACGAGAGGCTCACGGTGGTCGGAACATCATCCTCCAACGTGGAAGGGGTGAGGATATGCGAGAATGGCGGGCCATCGGAAGCGATAGAGGGGATATCTTCGCCGGAAAACCAGAGGAAAAGGGTGAGATTTGTGTTGCCGGAGAGTTCAAGAATAGAGAGGGGGGCGGAGGAGGAGCTGACGGAGCTGATGGAGGCGCGTGAAGCAGGAA